AATATGAAGAGAATTTTCTTCTTTATCCATCGCTATGGTCTTGCATCTAAACTTAGTACAGGGGGCCAGCTACAGACAGAAGCAAGAATTGTTTTCACAATGATTCCCTGAGACCTGGGTATACATGTAATCCTTCCCCAGAACCCAGTAACAAGCTCTGACATAGACTCAAGGAGGAAGCCTCATCACTTAAGATGTGAACACAATACAGCTGAAGCTAAAAGCAGATATTGAGAATAGACTACTATTTTGGCAAACTTGGAAGCCTAAGGCTCTAGAATTTTTGGGAGACATCCTCCTGCTCTCTCATTTCCCCACTCTTCCAGATATATTGTCACTGCAGGCATGAGTCATGGTGCTGGCAAAAGGGCACCCTGAAGAGAATTCTCAAGGCTGCATGAGCAATAATGAAATCTGGAATAGAAGATGTGAAGAGTCTTGGTGAGTTATTATGAGACATCCCAGATGGACTCCCAGAAGTGACCTGGAAGACTCTAAATGGGGGATGGAAATCCTGCATGAACCAGATTAAGCATGAATCAGAGAAAACTGAGTTGTTATTATATAAGTTCCTTTGGGCCCTCAAGCTATGACAGCCCCTAGGCAAACTTGAATTACATATATAATAAAGAGCAGTTCAATAATGAAGTGTCCAAACAAATGTTTCAAACTATATAAGGGTTTGTTGATGTCACAAAAAAATTCTTCTGTGCCGTGAATAATCCTCTCCAGGTCCTTTCTTACCCCTGCCCGTATGACAAAAGAATTGCCTTAATTACAAGTGAATGTTTTACCTGTACACTTTGTTGATATGAAGTAGAAAATATCTTTTACAAAACTGGAATTTTCTGACCTTCCTAAGATTTTCTTATTTCAAATATGCCCAAAACTTAAATGAGTAGAAACTGAATTGTTCACTGAAGTGAACACTGTCAGAGCTTTTCCCAGACACCCTAAGCCTGTCTTCATGGTTTCTGTGTACCTCTCCGGCTTCATTAGTTTTTGCTCCCTGAGGCCAGGATCTGCTACTCTTTTCCAGAATATTGCCATCCTTAGACTACTTGGGCTTTGCCCTCCCTCAGAGCTGGGAGTTTGCCTCTTCCACTCCAGGTAGCCCCTCCTAAGGACTGGCAAGGTGGGGGTTATAGAAGCCCAAGTCCTTGCCTCCGGTGAGGACAAACTCCCACATGGCATTCCTCTGCGGAGTCAGCCTGGGTAAGTCCTTGTCTGCAAATGCAGCATGCTTTGTTTCCTCCCCGCCCCCCCTCCTGCTTCTCCCACTTCCTTACTGAGTTCTCTTGGAAACACTTCTGAAATAAATCACTGATATATAAATAAACCTTTGCTTCAAGGTGTGCTTCTGGAGACTCTGTCTTAAGACTGTCTTCTAAATAGAAAGGTATATAAAGAAATCCCAGGACTCAGAAGGGGAATATGACAGGGAGTCTCACAAAAAGGTGGTTTAACCTATTACCATCCCAACATGATTTTAAGGAAGACTGTAAAAGCATTTTGCTTGAGTATCTGACTGCCACTAATATTGGAGATGCCAACATGAGTGACTTATTCTGTAAGCTCTGGGCCCTGGCAGACTTACCATATCCAGTTACTCCAAGAAAGAGGCATGTGTAGCTCAAACCTTCATCTCCACCAAAATCACCCAGGATTCTGAATGCTACTAGGTCACTGTGGTGTTGGGGAAGAAGGTGAGTTCAAATTTGTCAAATGTTAACCTGAAGAATCCACTATGTTTAGGGGGGTGCATAGATTATTGGTGGCATCTACTTATTGCCAGACACAGGCTGGTCAGTGTGTAGGGTCAGAATGCTTTTACTTTGGTTTGCTTTTGAAGCAGAAAGCAAGCAGCACTAAGGATATACGTAAGATTAGGATATAGAGTAGTGGCTGCAATAACTAGGAGGCACATCCAGAGTTGAGGGATCTCATCCTCCCAGAGGGAGGAATCAGCAGGTCAGAACAACTAGAAAAGGTGGGTTCACTCTTTGCAATTGATACCATTTCAGACTTATTGAGGGATTCCCCATAGTTTACCCTACCACCACTAAATCAATTCTTGCTGTGCCAGTCATTTCTGTGCTTCATTTATTGCTGTTACTGAGCCTCACTGAAGTTTTAGTGCAACAACCTGGTATGTTCTACCATAGACAGGTATATTGTTTTTTAAGTAAACAACCCATTTAAACCAACTTTGCTAGTAGCAGTTTTGGCTTTACTAGACTTATTAAAGAGGCTTATATAGCCGAAACCAATTTGGCCCAGTGGATAGAGTGTCGGTCTGCAGACTGAAAGGTCCTGGGTTCTATTTTGGTCAAGGGCATGTATCTTGGTTGCAGGCACATCCCCAGTAGGTGATGTGCAGGAGGCAGCTGAACGATGTTTCTCTCTCATCAATGTTTCTGGCTCTCTATCTCCCTCCCTTCCTCTGTAAAAAATCAACTATATATATATATATATATATATATATATATATATATATATATGTTAACATTTGACAAATCTGAACTCACCTTCTTCCCCAACACCACAGTGACCTAGTAGCATTCAGAATCCTGGGTGATTTTGGTGGAGATGAAGGTTTGAGCTACACATTTTATATATATATATATATTTTTTTTTTTAATTTTTTTTTAAGAGGCCTGTATAGACCCTATGGAGGGAGCAAAATCTTATATCCTCCTTTGCATCATATAAAAGATGACCTAGTGATATCAGATGATGGCGACAAGAATTGGGGTTAGGCTACAGATACCCTCAAAGTCAGGTAAGATACAGATCCCTTTGAAAGGAAGTATTCACGCTAACTTAGTTTGAGTGTCCTCTAAAAACAGATCCTAGGACAAGAATCCAAATGCAAGTAGTTTAGGGAAAACCAGTAAATGAGTAGAGAAGAGTTACAAGAAAAGGAAGACAATCAATTAGAAGTGCACTATTAAGTCAGCTACTATGTTAAATGACTGGAGATATCCCATCTGAATTATTCTACCAAGTTGAAGAAAGGCTGAGATATTTATAAACCTTCCTTGTCACTCACTGAAGATTGCTCCCTAAGAGTGCTAACTTCCCAGTAGTTCTAGCCTGCCACAAATAGATAGGCAGGATTCTGAAAACAAAACAAAACAAAACAAAACAAAAACTCAGAGATAAGTTTTTGTTTTGTTTTGTTTTCAATACAAGCACAATAAAGCAGTTTTGAAAGAACTGCAAAATGTGTATTGTTATATTCCTGTTTACCTAGAAACTGAGTTACAAGGGACATACCAATACAATTGGCTCAAGTGAAGAGTAATGACAACTTTGCATTTGAAGCATACCCAGTATGTACAGGAACTTCAAGGCTCATGGTAGATTGACTTTCCAACAGTTCTCAGAGAATGCATGGTAATATATATACTTAAATGGAAAAAAAGTGGAAGTCAGCTAAAAATCCAGTTGATATGATTATGATAAAAATAAAAACTCTCAGCAAAATGGAAATAGAGGGGTTATTCCCCCAACATAATATAGGCCATATATGACAAACCTACAACTAACAGCATACTCAATGGGCAAAAGCTAAAAGCACTTCCCTTAAGATAGAGATGTCTGCTTTCGCCACTCTTATTCAAAATAGTATTGGAAATCCTAGCCACAGTGATTAGATAAGAAGAAAACATAAAGGGCATCCAAAGTGTAAAGGAGGAAATAAAACTGTCATTATTCGCAGATGACATGACACTACACATGTACAGAAAACCCTAGAAACTGCTAGATTTAATAAATAAATTTGGCAAAGTAGCAGGATAAAAAATTAATAAACAGAAGTCAATGGCATTTTTGTACACCAATTAATAACCTTCAGAAAGAGGGGGGGGAATCCCATTTACCATTGCAACAACAACAAAAATATAAGATACCTAGGAACAAACTTAACCAAGGATGTAAAAGACCTGTATTTAGAAAACGTATAGGACACTGAAAAAGGAAATAGAGGAAGACATAAAATAAAATAAAAAATTAAAAAAAGCGGAAGCATATACCGTGTGTTCACTGATTGGAAGATTTAACATCATTAAAATGTTGCAGGCTTCAAAACTGCTGGCAAGCACATGTGCCTGGCTGCCACCTGCAGCATTAATGGCATGGCTCCTTTAGGCACTTGCTCTTGCTGCATCTATTCTAACAGAGCGCCTATCTTAGCTATATGTACTGTAAGTGCTCCTGACTAGATGTGGGTTTCAAACAGACCAGAATACGAAATATTAGCCATTTGGGAGTGACCTGTAGATAATTTTATGGGAATGCTGTAATGAAACAGATGCTTCACTTTTCATAAATCTGCTGACACTGCAGGAGTTATTTCAGACCCACAATTCTTCAGTTAAGGAATCACAATCCTAACTCAAATCAGAGGTTTTGTTGTTGTTTTGTTAAAAAAAAAAAAAAAAAAAAAAAAAAAAAAAAGCCATAGCTCCTAAGGTAGTCTCACACACCTTTTCCAATTTGGCTTCAATTTCCTAAATAAGTGAATAAAAACCGCGGCCAGGTTGGAGCACTTTGAGAGGCAATTGCAGAATATGCGAACCTGCTATTTGTCGGTGTGTGTACCTTAGTCCCAGGCCATTCATTCAGCTTCCCAAAGCCTGTCGGGCCCTGCGGTGGAAGGCGGGATTGCACCTCCCGGCACCTGCTTTCATAGAACAGCACTCATCTCACTCTACTTCGCTCGCAATGAGAACACCTTACAGTATTCCGTTTTCCCCGTCCTCCCTCAACGCTTTCCCACCTCTACCCACGCCTTTCACTCCGCTGGGGATCTCCTCGCTCGCCCGCTTTCCCCACTCCGACCCCGATGGGCTGTGCCCCCCGCTAGCTTTCGGGCGCGCGGCTGCAGCGCACACACCCGGAAATCGGCGGAAAGAACACTCTGCGCACGCGCCCTAAACTCGCGCCGCTTGGCCTCCTGGGCGCGGTTGGCTGGTTTCTCCGCCTCTGATTCGCGGAGGCTGCGGTGTGGAACTCTCGCGGTATTTGCCGTGGACGGCAAGCGGGCTGCCTGGGCTGCCGCGGCTCCTTTTGTCGCCCGCGCTTCTTCGTCCCCCGGAGTGTTGGCCGAGCAGCATGACTTCCGCCCTGGAGAACTACATCAACCGTATCCTCTGGCGGCCCCGCCGGCGCCGGCCGGAGCCGCGGGGAGGCCCCCGCCCGGCCGGAGAGGGCCCGGGCCGAGGCGGCGGGCGGTGGGGACTTCCGGCCACTGCGCGACCCGGGTTCGGGGGTTAAGGATCCCGGACCCACCAATCCAGCGCCCGCGACACGAATGGGCCCAAATCGCGCCTTTTCGTTTTAACCTTTAACGCATGAGATTATTCGGAATGTCTCCTTGTCTGTAGAAGTCATCGATTTATTCATCCTTTCTACTTCTCTAGGCCGTCAAGTTGGGGAATGAGAGGAACCGTGGTGCTACCGATGACGCTATTGTTGTAAATCCATGTGTTGCACTTGTTTTGTTCCTAGGCTCGGCTCATTGTCCTGCCCCTTGACCGGCTGAAGTCTCAGCTTCTTTGTGGATAGAATGGAAATAAAGCTGGGAGGTGGCTCGTCGCAGGGGACACACAACTTATAAAGCCTCCGGGCAGTCTCCCGTGCTCGGTGCATGTATGACAGTTTTAAAGTCTCCGGGCAGGAACGCTACATTGTGTGTGTGTGTGTGTGTGTGTGTGTGTGTGTGTGTGTGTGTGTGTGTGTGGCGGGGAGGAGGAGAGCGAAATACTAAAGACTTAATGCTGTGAAGCACATTTATTCCTGTGCCACTCATTACAGCTTTTCTTTTGAATTCCAGAAGCCAAGTCCTGGAAGACAGGGTCTTACCACACTTGAAATCATTTAGCACTAACCCATTTTAGTTGTAGAGATGAGCACACAGGTCTAAGAAAGGGGGACATGCCTTGCTCAGACCCAGAGGTACCCAGTTAGAAAGAACCGAACATCACAGCGGCTTTGAGACAGACAGGTTATACTTGATCACATTGGACAGTGATTTTTTTTTTCTTCTTCTCTATCTTTACCTTTTCTAATTGCCACAAGGAATTGAAGACGTTAGAAACCTCACGTTTTTAGGTTGTGAATGTAGTGTGTGTGTTGAATAGTTGAATCTTAATTCTGTCACCTTTCCCCCAGCGATTCAAACCACTTCCTTACCAGGTTCTACAATAAGTTTTCAGGTCCCATTCCCTGAGAAATGCTTTCCTTGATTCAGTTACCAGGAACTGTTGCTGTTATTACTTCTGACGGGAGGATGATAGTGGTAAGTATTTGGCATATTCATTCTCTCCTTTCTTGGAGGCTTATTGGTTGTAAGTTTTTCTGTAGAAGCTCTGATCTGCAGTGCCTGGGCACGGGAGTGTTACACCTGCATTACAGTTTTCTTGTGTCTCAGCTCTTCACCTGAAAGGTTACCCTGATCACATACAGAAAAGGATTTTCTTTTTCTATTTTCTCCTTTTCTAATTGTGTAAATATGACGAGGGTTGGAGGAGTTACAAACTTTTAAGTCTTTACGTTGTGAATGTAGTATTTTTTTCTTTATTAACAAGTTTGAATATGAGTTAAAGGCTTCTGGAAGCTAGATTCTGCCCTCAGAGCATCTACTGGTAGTATATAATAGTATGCAGACATCCGTATTTCATATTGGTCTTTCCCAATATTTATTTCTTTTTCCATTCAGTACTCTGATATTCACTACATGAATCATAATATTTATTTGAAAGTTTGCATATTGTTCTTAGGATCTTTTTTTATGCACTGGGCCTAACATACTACATTTATGGAACATTTAAGGTGTGTATGGTGTTAATATTCTTTGACTCTTCTGAGGTTGTATGACCTCTCTCTTCTGTAGGACAAATTATGATGATTGACCCTAAATTTATTTCATCTCATTTGTCTGTTTATCACAGTATCTCCTTTTAATTACAGAAAAATTTGAGATTCTCTCCTTGACCTCTTCCTTGATCTGAGGAATTTATTCCATAATTTTGGGCTACTTAATTATTTCTTCACATATAATTCATATAGCTGTTTGCTTTTCAAAAAAGTTTTAAGGCTACTAAACTATATTCTAACTGTATCTAATTTATATAATTTAATCTCATTTTTCCATTCTGCAGTTCTATTTTTGTTTGTTTTCTATTTAATTCTTGTGATTTTTCTCAGTAAGTCTTAAGAGAAGATTACCAGTCAGAGTGTTAGATTTTGCCATTTATTAAATTACTAGAGGCCCAGTGCTCGAAATTTGTGCACGGGGGAGGGTGGTCTCTTAGCTTGGCCAGCACCCTCTCCAATCCAGGAACCCTTGGGGGAATGTCCGACTACCAAGTTGGATATCCCTCTTGCAATCTGGGACCGCTGACTCCTAACTGCTCGCCTGCTTGCCTGATTGCCCCTAACCACTCTCCCCTGCTGGCTTGATCTCCCCTAACCACCTTAGCCTTGGCCCCTGCCACTGTGGCTTTGTCCAGGACAACTGGAAGATGTCCAATTGACCCGGTCTAATTATTATAGCATGTTACCCTTTATTAGTATAGATATTATAATTTAATAATCAGGACAACTAGGTGAGACTACAAATACCCTTGTATTCTACATTAGGCACCAAGCTCAGAAAAAGTGAGTTGCTTTCCCAGAGTCACCTGTAATCAAGTGGCAGAACCAAACTGGGTCTTATTTCCTTCGTAATCAAGAGAACAATCATGTTTTAAGCACATCAGCTTAAATTTTGTCAGGGACAGTTTGAAATACTTTAATCTCAACACTTCAGGAAGCTTTCTGCTATGGCCACTGGCTAGGCCCATATGCATGCACACAAGTCCCATGGATAACAGGGTGGGTGGGGACATATGTGGGGATGGGTTTGGGATGGGAATGGGGGAGTGAGGACAATTATGTGATATCATAATCAATAAAAAAATTAAAAATAAAAAAGCTTTCTGCTATTAACACATTTACAAGTAGTTTTTATTTTTTTATTTTTCAAAAACACAGTTTAAATTTTTCTATTGTTAAAAGGATATGTAATGAATTGGAAAATTATTTTAATTTTATAAAAGAAGGGAAGCTTTTTAAAAACAGCATTTTGAGTACTAAAGTTCATTTGTTCAGCATTTCTTTGATGCATGGTATACTTGATAGAACAGTTATATGTAAAATGAAGCCAAATGCTATGTGTGTGTGTGGTAACTATTTGCAAATTACTTTACTATAGACCGTGTTTCATATTTTGTTTTCTCTTTATTTCATTCGGATTTTATATATATGTTGATTTTCAAAACATGAAACAATTTAATAGGGAGCTTCAGAGATTTAAACAACCAAACAAATATAACGTTCTTCAAAATATTGAATAGCCTCGAGTTATTGTGCTGTGCTATGCCCATGTCTTCCCTTATTCAAAATCAGAAGTCTTCCATAAAAACTTTATCTGTATATTTTCTTCAAGGTTTGGCTCTTAATTATTTCAGTCATGTTTGTATCTACCTTATTGCATTATTAGGAGGATTGAATAAGTAAATGCATGCGAGGCCCCTAGAACAGTTTCTGCCAACTACTCATTGTGTTAACTGTTAAGAACAGTTGAGGTTTATATATCTTTATGGGACTTATCTGAATCTCTTAAGAATGTAAATTATATTTGCTTGTTTATAGTAGTTTAGTAGTTCAGCTGTCTGTCTCTGAAGCTATCCTTTCTTGGTCAGATCCTAGTTCTGCTACTTTCTGCCTAAGAAACCTTTAGAGATTACTTACCCTCCCTGTGCCTCAGTTTTCCTTTTCTGAAGTGGGAATAATTACATCTACTCAAAAGGAAAAGGTTAGTTGAGATAATGTGTACAGTGTGTTTAGCACAAGTCTAGTACTAGTGTGTTGCATGAAGTGATACTGCTATATTGCAATAGCTGGTATATAGTTCCAAACATATATATATATATATATATATATATATATATATATATATATATATATATATATATATATATATCACACACAAGGGTGGCAAAAGTAGGTTTACACTCATGAGTAAGCAAAACACAGTTTATTCTTGTATTTCTCATACCTGCAACTGTAACTACTTTTGCCCAGCCTTGTATAATTCCCCCTTAGATTTAACTTGTTTTAGTTTGTCTCTGTAGAATGTTAGCTTCTGGTCGGGCTTTTTTGCTATTTTCTTGGAATTACACTGGTACATTGATGTCCTTTGTAAGTCTAAGCAACTCTGCACACTAGTGAAATGTGTGCTGTACTTTCTTTTACCCCTTAAAAAACCAAGAGGTAAGTTTTGTGCCAGAATATCGGTAATTATAAAGAGGAATTACATTTTATAGTGGACTTGTATATTTCTATTGGAGGACCCAGCACCTAAAATTATTGTCTGGTTAAATTTACATATTTAAGTAAACCTGAATACTTAAACTTTTCTTTTTACAGGGAACACTGAAAGGTTTTGACCAGACCATTAATTTGATTTTGGATGAAAGCCATGAACGAGTGTTCAGCTCTTCGCAGGGAGTGGAACAAGTGGTACTAGGGTTATACATCGTAAGAGGTGACAATGTGTAAGTGAAATGTGTCTTCTTTAAGGCAGGTTAAATATACTATAGGTGTACTGTCCTACTATGTGGAGAGGAGGTTTTTATCTACTGAGATTTGTCCGTATTTCTAATAGTTAAGTGGTCTGGATAGGGTTCAGAAAGGGTCTCAACTTACACTGAATAATTCATTAGGGAGGCTTCTTAGAAAGTTCTTCCAAAATACCTCTAATTTCAGAGGAATATAAATATACTCCTAGGATACCAAAGCTAAGGTTTGAAAATTAATTGAAAATACTTTGCATGAACAATTTTAAATGATTCCTGCTATATAAGTAGAGCTGAATTTATAAACAAGTATTTATCTATTACTTATTTTTTTAAAAAATTTTCAGTATAATTGGCATGCTAAATATGTGCTTTGTCAATGCTGTGGCCTCAGTTAATTTGTGACGCACTGATGGGGCAGTTTAAGAAGATATAGTATGGTGGTGGCAGCTTAGGAAAAGTCTGCAACAATATAGAACAAAGCTGTTTAGTAGACCTTTTGGGGTGGGTGTGGTGGAAATGCTATATATCTGCATTAAGGTACAATAGATAGCACTAAGGTAGGTACTAGCCGTGTATAACTGCTGAGTTCTTGGAAAGTGGCTTATGTGGCTGAATGACTGAATTTTAAATTTTATTTAAATATAATTGAATAAATGTAGCTAGTGGCTACTGTATTAGACAGTGCGTTATAGCAGCTAAAAGATTGTTGAATCAGTTTTCTACTGATTACTGTATAGATTTAAAACATGGCTGGAATGCAGCAAAAGATGTATTAGCATCTTAGTTTATTTGGGGGGACAGGTAGGATATAGAAGATGTAAGAATTCCATTCATTTGAATTGTTTATCTTAAGAAAATCATATTTTAGATTAAAATTATTGGATTTTTATCTAAATTGGGGGTTTATTAAATAGATGACTATTAGGTGCAAAGTTATAAAGTGAGCTGTAAAAAAATAAGAAGGCTAAGGAGATGGGGCCCAGGTCCCCTGACTAGAACACACTAATTCTTTATATTGTAGCTCCCTGTATAAAAATTGATTTTAAGAATCTCCTACATTAAAAAATAATACTTTTAACTGCAATTTAAAAAAATGTAGATCTTTGCTGTAGACCTAGTGATGTGCTGAAGCCAGCTTATACTAACTTTTGAAAGCAGATTGTTGTGTTTTCAGTTTTGTAAGCTGGTTCATTAATGTCTTGTTGGTAGCTTCATATCGGGAATTGTGGGAGGGTTTACACTAGCGATGTCAGTAAATACTGTAAACCAGCCTCCCATTTTTTTCTTTGGAGATCTGGTTTTAAAACATTTATCAGCACCCACTGCCTTCCAATAGGATTTTAAATGATCCTAAACTTTTAGGGGTACAGTTGAGATCTTGGATTTGTTTTATTTTGAGAAAATAATATATTTCCCCAGAGTTTAGTACTTTTCATTATTAGAGAACTGAAGGCTTTATATAGTTTAAAGCAAAATTGGGCAAATTCTGAATTGAAAGTATCCTATCTAATAAAGAGAGAATATGCTAATTGACCATCACATCCTCACAAAGATGGAGGTGCCCACAGCCAATAAGGAGGTAATATGCTAATTGACTGTCACACCCTCAAAAGCTGGCGGCACCCAGTCCTTTTAGCCCTGCTGGGGCGACAGGTACATGGCATGGCTGGGCCTGCCCCCCAGGCCTGTCTCCGGAGTAACCAAGTCTCCTCAGACCCCACCCCCCTATAGGGCCAGCCCAAGGCACAGGCAAGCCTTGGATGGCAGCTGCCCAGGGCCACCTGAGGCTCAGGTAACCAAGGCTGGCCGGGGCTTGTGCTGCCAGCAGTGGTGGCAGCTGAGGTGTGATGGGGGTGTCGCCTTCCCCTGGTCGCTGGGTCACCTCCCGCCCCTGAGGGCTCTCTTACTGTGAGAGGGGACAGGCCGAGCTGAGAGACCCCTCCCCATCAAGTGCATGAATTTTCATGCACCGAGCCTCTAGTTCATTTATAAAGAATTTACTCTCATTAAAACCAAACAAATTTAAACTGGTTTTTAGTGGAATAATGTTTCACACATATCTCTTGGTCTGGATGTAACAATAATTATATCCAGCTAGAAAGCCATGGCTTTGTTACTTAGCACAGCATTAATGGAATTAATGTTATAGGTTTGTGTTTTCTCATGGGAAAACTACTGGCTGGAAATAGCCAATCACATGAAAAAAATTTTTTTATTAGGTACCTAAGTACTTGTTAACTGCTATTATTTTTGTATATATATAAAAAAAACACACTACTTTTTGGTTTTGAATTTAAATCAAGCAAACTGAGAAATCATGACAATTACTAATAAACATTATACAACACTTACATATTTAGTTCATTGATGTTAATGATAGGTCACCGAAGGAGGAATGCACGAGGCCAGAATGGTGAGGGATTGTGAATTTATTCAATCATCCACACACCAGGTGGCTGAGCCTGGATGGCTCCAGACCCAAGTGATGGAAGTCAGTGGCTTTTAAAGGACCTTTGGCGGGCTTCTTCTGGGCGGAGACTTCTTTATGCATACCCAGAAATGAGATAATAGAATGTGGTCACCGCAAGTGAAATGTGGTCTCAGCAAAGGCAATGTCCATTGTGAAATGGCCTGAAAAGTCAGTTCCTGGGAGGGGGACGGGAGGAGAGTATTTATTCAATCAAACCTAATAGTTACTTAATTAACAGATGCTTTATTTTCTTATTTAGTGATTTTGTGATTCTCCCCTCTTCTCAGACCTCCCCAATACAGTTCCTAGAGTTGAAATCTTGGGATTGGAAGTTTTGGGTTTTTATACCATACCTGTCCCATTTGTGTCTTCTTCCTTTAAAGACTTATGATCGACTAGAGACCTGGTGCACGAAATTTATGCACTTGCGGCGGAGGAGGGGGCTCCTCAGCCTAGCCTGTGCCCTTTTGCAATCCGGTCCTGGGAGGATGTCCGACTGACAGCTTAGCATTGCCACACAGGCAGGAGAGGCTCCCACCACTGCTGTTGTGCTCACCAGCCATAAACCCAGCTTCTGGCTGAGCAGCGCGCCCCCAGGGGAAGCACACTGACCAGGGGGCAGCTCCTGTGTCGAGTGTCTGCCCCCTGGTGGTCAGTGTGCATCATAGTGACTGGTCATTCCACCATTCGGTCATCTGCATATTAGCCTTTTATTATGTAGGATACACTGTAGATGAGACCCCCTAGAACCATAAGAAATGCAAAAAAATCACTGTTAGCTCATTCTCTAATTGGCCCCACTTAAAACCAAATTGCCCCCCTGTGGGGCGTGTGCTGCACCTTGGGAACCACGGGGCTTGACCCTTTTCCTCTCTGAGCTTCATTTCTGAACACATACACATATGCCATGGGAATTGTGATCTCTCCTCCACCGACCTCACTGGGTTGTCATGAGGAGGTTCTGAGCTAGTAAACCTAGAAATGCTTCATCCAGTAAGTGATGTCTAAAGGGGAAGGGATTGTTACTTTTAAGCCCACGGGTACCCTCGCAGGTGGCAGGTGCTGGTAGGGGAGGAGGCATGATTGTTTCCTGGGACTGTAACTATGGAAGCTTTGCAGAGGGTCCGCAGGCCTCGGAGGGTGGGCTCTGGCCAGCAGCCCTTAGCGGTGTCATCCCTGGAGGCGCTGGGAGCAGGCAGGGAGTTAGTAGAGTGCTAGGTGGGTGGTGAGGCCGAAGGGGAAGTAACTGTCAAACCTTCCCGCTTGGCGCCATTGTATGTGGCTGTTTCTCAGCTGTACCTGCTCAGGGCAGAGCTCCAATCTGGAGCGGGATGGGGCTGGGCCAGGGTGGAACCAGGCAGGCTAGGAGGGCAGGTTTAGCCACGCCCCCAGCGAAGTTCAGCGGGGCCTCCACCGGAGTCTGGAGTTGTAAGGGCCTGGCAGTGGCGAGCCACTGGCCTCGGGTGCCTCGTGGTGCCAACGGGTGGTCACCTGTGTGCTATTATTGTGCGCGAGAGTGGCTGGGGAAGAGATTGGGAGTTGGAGGTGCAGGCTGCGGCTACCCCCAAGGCTGGGTCTTCCCATCCAGTAAGCCTCCCCCACCCCCCACCCCCCCCCACGGTACAGGGGCTGGGGTAGGGTGTCCATCAGGGAGATTGGAAGAGCTCCCTGTGGCTGCTTCCTCTCCTTTGCAGACCAGATTTCTGTCAGGCACTGTCCTCAGATCCCTAGGAACTCTGCTCCTGCTGCGCATGCATCATATGCAAATTGGTTGTTAAGGAGACTCAGTCATGGGCAAATTAGCATATTACCTCTTTATATGTATAGATCACACTATATGAAATGTGTCCTTTAATATTCCTGCAATAATGTTGCCTTCAAATTATTTCTTTTTGAGTTTTGTGACTTCATGAAAAATTTGGTTTTCAAATTAAGTAGTTCTTTTTAGTTTGTCTTCTCAGTTTTATCCAGAAATGAGATTGTTTTAACTCACTTTTTTTCTCCTCAACTAATTGCAGTGCAGTCATTGGAGAAATTGATGAAGAAACAGATTCTGCACTTGATTTGGGGAATATTCGAGCAGAACCTCTGAATTCAGTAGCACACTGAGGAAAAATTACATACATTGGACATCTGTAAATCTTTGTACAGAAACTGATTATTCTAAGGATGATGTGTGGAATTTTTATAAACGTGTAATTGTGCAATTTTGACTATTGATTAATTGTGATATATGTAAATTATAATATTTTTACATTTTGTTGAATAAAGATTTTTCTTGTCTAAATCATAGGTTTGGTAGTTGGTTTTATTTTTCCATTAAATAGTGTGAAAATCTAATGATTATTTTGAGAATTTTTAGGGAAAAAAAATGTGATATTTTAATCTTTATGGAAAACTTGTTGAAAAGAGAAATGTGTGTGCTGTATAACTGAAGCATAAAATACCACCAATAACAGTGCAGGATACACGTCACAGGAAGATAAGTCTTGCTTTCCAGATATCTTACACCTCCTCCCCCCTCCCATTTATTGCACAGCCCGGGGGGCTGTTCCCTCACACTTTAGAAGTGTGGGTAAATGTGTTTGGTTGAGAAAAGGAAAAATGCTTATAACAAAGTTGTATATTATCTGAAAAAATGAATGCCATATAGCATTAAAAGCCATCTTGGTTCTTCCGAATTGTGGAATTGCTAGTATTAAAGGAGTTTTTTTTATTGTTTATAAATGTGAGTAAATAACCTTAAGTTTATGTTGCAGTAGTGCTTGCTATTATTGTCAACAACTTTCTATGACACTGGTTCCATAAACCTGGTTTCTAAGGAAGCACTGTAAACCTGGTTTCAAGCATTTCAGGCCTATTATTGGTTGATAATTTGAATGAGTCAAGTAATGCCCCTCATCTACAAATAGGCTGTTTTCTAAAACTCCTTGTATAATTGGTTGATTATATATTTTAAAGAATCCATAGAAACAATATTATAAGTACTGTTTAGATATCCAGGCTAGTGCACAAAGATTATCAACCCGTGTTTAGGCCAAAGTGTATATCTATGCTGAAAAAACTTAGAATTTAAATAAAATTTTTAATGAACTTGTTAAAAATAGCTATTAGCAAACTTTTGTCATGATGCAGATAGTAAGTATTTTGAACCCTTGAGGTCCTATATGGTCTATGTTATAGCTTCTTGTGTAAACAACCATCTAATAAAAGGGTAATATGCTAATTTGACCAGATATCCTCCAGGACAAAGCCACAGTGGCTGCAAGGGTTGAAGGCAGGCAGCCATGGCAGTGGCTGTGAGGGCTGAGGGCAGGCAGCCACAGCAGCAACTGAGGGCCCAGGGCAGGAAGCCATGGCGGTGGCTGCCAGGGCCGAGGGCAGGCCGCCTCAGCGGTTGGCAGTGGCAGCAGCTGCTGGGTGATGGGGGTGGCACCTTCCCCTGATAGGCCCTGTCGCCTCCCACAGAGGCCAGAGGTATCAGCAGTGGTGGGGTGATGGGGGCAAGGCCTTCCCCTGATCAGCCAGGTCACCCACAGAGGGAGGCTAGACTCTGGACATCCCCTGAGGACTCCGGTCTATGAGAGCGGGCAGGCTGGGCTAATGGACTACCTCCCCTCCCCCCATGTCCCAGGTGCCTGTGGCCAGCCAGAGGGAGGGGAGCCAGGGTGCAGAGTTGAGGCAGAAGCCGTTAGGGGTATCAGGCAGGCAGGTAGGTGAGCGGTTAGGAGCTAGCAGTCCCAGATTGTGAGAGGGATGTCTGCTGGTTTAGGCCCAATCTTCTCAAGTAATGAGTTGCCAATATGCTGTATCATTTTGAAGTCTAAAATTATTTACAAAGATGTATTTTCTTGGTTGATGTCAGAAAACTCATTCCCACAGTATGAGTTGGTTGTCCTTATTAGAGGAAATAAATGAAAATGAAATGTACATGCAGTTCTTTACTCCTGGGTGCACATGGTAGGCTTTTATGCTCAACCGATTCAAGTTGGTATCGTTTTGCAAAAGCACTGTAAGGGAAACATAACTATAAGTGGTATCATTAATATGCAGTGGCAAGTTTTTTATATTCTTTAATGAAACTTTTATTCTTACAGTTTTCTTATAAAGAAGAAAATCACTTTTAACCTATAATTATCACTTCTGTGCTTTGTGATTCAGGTACTGTCTAAACCCAACTTAATAATGAATCAAATTTTTCTTGGCATGCTATTTTCACTAAAGCATTTTGCAAATGGCAACTAACTTCAAAAAGGACGTAATTTGTTTCTTTTTAACTGAAAATATACTATCTAAAATAATAATTTAAAACATTGCTTTCATGTTAAAACAATTTGATAAATGGCCTTACATGTTAACAGTTTTGGCTTAAATACTGTAATACAAATCTTGATGCCAGAGAATAAGAGGTATTATAGATAGACTTTTATTAATATTTGCTTTAAGCATCTCTTTCAACATCTTAATAAAATTAAAATTTTTAACCTCGTGAGATATAAGAATTTTTAAGTATTATTTAATGCAAATGTAGGCTATGTCAACATTTTTTCTCAGATATGTAACAAAAAATTCCCCATGTGGACAAGAAAGGAAACAATCCCCAGTGGGATCCAGAACTACTTGTATAGTAGCCAAAGTTACAAAGCAGTCTTTAATTGGCAATATAATGCATTCTGGGCCTCCTCCAAAATTAGTGCACAGTATTTATTGAATGCATGCCATGTGCCAGCTGTGACGTTAAGTGCTTAGAACAGTGACTTTTACATACGGCAAAATTGAGGCTCAATAGGATTTGGCGCCTTACAAGAAGTCACTTGGAATAGGACTCTGATTCAACCAGGTCTTTGTCTATTATTGCCTGATCTGCACAAAGTATAATCTCAAAATTTTTTCTCTCAAGTACCTATCAAAAGCATTGTTGAAAGAAATACTTAAATGTATTTCTCCTCAACTAATTGCAGTGCAGTCATTGGAGAAATTGATGAAGAAACAGATTCTGCTAAACAGATCTAAGGCTATTCCCAAAGCTTCATATACAGAGTGGGGCAAAAGTAGGTTTGTAGTTCATGTGGAAAATACATTAATAAATAATAATACAAAAATAAACTATTTCACTTACAACTATAAACCCAATTTTCCCCCCCAATATTCATTGTGGGCCACCTTTATTATAATTACCTGAAATACTTTAAATATTCTTGGCCCTACTCTCACTATTGCGGTTCAGTAGATATGTGAGCACATGTGGTCTTTGTGAACAGATGCTGCCTCCTAATGATCACTGCTTAGTTTTCTATATGTCCATACTGTTAAAACAAAACAAACCCACAAAACAGATTTTTGAAATTTTGTCAAGGACATTTGTCAAGCCATGAATGCATGTTAGGTACTATGCTTGAAGCTATAGATATATCAGGAGACAATATTAACAAGCTGTTGTACTTGTGAAGCTTGTATCTGCCAATAGTAACTCGGCCAAATCATCTTGACTCCAAGATTTACAGTTCAAGGTCATGAGTTAGTTCATTAAATTCTCTCACTACTCTGGGATATAACTTATGGGTCTTGGATTCTATTTAAAGCAGCTGAAGACTGTGTTTTTGAGTTTAATATAATTTCTATTGAACTTTGCCTGCCTTTTTTCTGTTTTAAGATTACAGAGTCTATGTAGATTGCAAAACAAGAAGGATAAAGGCAAAATGGGACTTCACCAACAGTTCTCTATCAGCCAACATTATACATCGTTTGGTAATGAATGAGTTGAGAATGATTCTCCAAGACATCTTTGCTTAGGTTTAGCATTTAAAAGTTTTAAAACATCCAATTTTTAAATTGATTTTTCTTATATCTGTTACTTCTATACATTTTATACATATTTCCCTTTTAAACATCCTTTAATTTTATAGATATATACTAGAGGCCTGGTGCACAAAATTCATGCATGGATGGTGGTGGGGGGTGTTGTGTGTGTCCCTCACCCAGCCTTCATCCTCTCCAATCTGGGACCCCTTGAGGAACATCCTTCTCACGTTCCTGCAGGAAAACTCTCCATGTTGATGGTGAAGATGCAAAGCAACAGCAGCAGTGGCCTCATCTTCTCCCAGTCAATTGGCTTCTCCGGCTCCTTCTAATTTCCTCCTGGGTGATGCACAATTCCACCGCCATCTTCCTCCTATGGTCCCCAGGAAGCTTACTCTGACCTCCAACCTGGCAGCGAGCGTGTGAATTGCTACTACATTCTTGAGAATGCATTTTTCTACAGAGCCACAGTGCCTTATCAGAGCTATCAAAATAAACAATGATATACCCAGTAACTAGTCTACAATTGGATTTCCTCAATTCTCTCAAAAATGCCTTTTCACAATTGGGTCATAAGGAAAGATGACCCAAAAATGGTTTCTCTGTACCCTAGTTTTTGATATTCAGATGATTTTGTGTAATTTTCCTAGAGTAGTTTGCTTGTTTTCATTCCCCTACTTCCCAGGGCAGAAACATTGAGGGGCCTTTTGCTGGGGCTGGAGATTTGAACTCTGGAAGAAGTAGCTGGCCTTTCTCTCTTTTTCCACTCCCCTGGCCGCCTCTCTTACGGTGGGGGCTGCTCCTTCTGAAGCTGAGAACTTTGCTGCGCCTGCACTAACTGCCCTGGAATAGCCCTGTTTTGTGTTTGTTTTTGTTTGTTTGTTTGTTTTGCTCTAGACACATCACATTCCTGCTGTCCTTAACTAGGTTTTTTAATTGTTCTTTTTTTGTTGTTTGTTTGTTTGTTTTAGAGAGAGAGAAAGAGGGAGAGAAAGAAAGAGATGTCAATTTATTCCACTTATTTATGCTTTCATTGGTTGATTGGTTATTTCTTATATATATTCTGACTGGATATGAAACTATGGCATATGGGAAGGATCCTCTAGCTGAACTACCCTGCCAGAGCTGTCCTTTGCTATTCTTGGTATTGGGGGAAAACTTCAAGTCTTTCTGAGTTTTGCTTCTCTGACACTTTTTACAAAATCTGTTCTACTCCTCTTCACTTAGTCATCTTTGCTTCTGTCTTTTGTCCCTGTAAATTCTGGAGTCCTCAGAAGCACCCAGGATGCTTGGGTGTTTCAGATGCTTCCTTCTTGCTATCCTGTGGTGATTTTGAGTTCTCATGAGTTGGGTTTTAAGGAGGAGGGTGTGCATCTTGGACCATGAGAGGGACCTCTGCCCTTCTGTAGGGAACAGACAATGCTGGCAGTGTAGGCAGGTCTTCCAGACCCTGACTGCTGAGCTGCTCCAGGGGGGAGGGAGACTTTAGTG